ATGAGAGTGGACACATGTTGACAACATATCCATGAAGTCGGACAGACGTGTCAGTACTTTTCGGAAATTAGGACCTAAACTGGGTCTTCAGCGATTTATTATAAGCCTAGAGCCGTGGAGCACGTCTTTCGTTTATACCAACAGGAACTTCATCGATTCCTCAATTCTTTGTTTTCAATCCTTTATATTCTCATGGAACCACCCACGGTTGTACAAAAGCGTGTTTTACAAACATATATATGTTCAACAAAAGTGATGATTCAGACAGTAAGAGTACATTTAAGTATTATTTCTAGATATTGGAAATAAACTTTGACAAATTCTTCATTTCTGCGGGGGCACGGGTGGCCCAGTCGTCTGAGGCGCCGCGATTCGCTGTGCAGAGTTGCGTCCCTTGGGCACGCCGGAAACCTATGATTGTGGGTTCGAATCCCGAATCTGTCAACACCATACCCGTGCTCGTGGGTTTCATCGAAGTGGTAAACGTCTGAGACCTGCATCACTTCGGGCTTTCCTCCCACATTAAGCTGACACGCCGTGATATGACCGGAATACTGTTAAAAGCGGCGTTAAACCAATCTAACTCACTCACTCTTCATTTCTGCTATTTTGGTTTACTCTACCACTAGACCGCCGTCATATAGCTGGAATATTGCTGAGTGCGGCGTTAAACAACAAACCAACCAACAAACCATCTTCACAGCGAATTGCGGTGCTTTAGACGACCTAAGGCCTTCCTTGACCGTAAACATGGGTATATTGGCCGATACACAATCATATCAGAGTAAAAAATAAACATGGCACAGTTTTTCATAATAAAACCGTTTTTATTAAATTATTCAATTGTTACAAATTATTTTAATATAACTATGAAAGTTATGTCGTTGTTCGTCGTAGAAAAGGCGGATTACGACACAATGTTCCACATCCTCAACTGAAGGGGACAAAATTGACATACTCTATTTGTTTAAGAGCAATTCATGAATATTTTATGTCCGTTTCAGTAAATCTTGTCAATTGGGCCACGCGAGTGAATATGGTTTTACGGCGCTCTTGGCAATAATCCAGTAATATCACAACGGGGGACACTGGGCTTCACACTTTGTACTCAGGGGGGAATCAAACCTGGGTCTTCGGCGTGACGAGCGAAAGCCTTAACCACAAGGCCTCCTAACTGCCCCAGTTGTGCTGCGCGACATCAAATTGGTCGTAATTCAAATCCTCAGTTAATTAACTGAGACGTACATGTGTTTTTATCATATGTTTTGATTTTCAATTGAAAGTATCCTAATTTGGCGATGTATTAAAAAAACAGCACTCACAGAATACTTCTACATGGTTTTATTTAAAAAAAATATCATTTCTTTACAAAATGGAGAAAAAAACACATAATACACAACTGCTTGTGGTTAACTTAGACTTCTTGTCTTTGCAAATCAGTAAATGTACTTTTTTCTCGGCACAAATTTTCAACATAGTAGGGGGCATGTGGATGCAAATTCATTTCATACCCCAGTCGTCATTGAACCAATTTATTTTTACACAAAATGAGCAGGAATGGGCGATGATGAAATAGATATAATCAAATATAACTGGGCTTTCAAGTTTCGATTACATAAAAAAATCATTCTAGGCATATTTTCTTTTTCTTCTAAAACGTCTAGGACCTGCATCACTTCGGGCTTTCCTCCCACATTAAGCTGACACGCCGTGATATAACTGGAATACCGTTTAAAGCGGCTTTAAACCCAACTCACTCACTCACTCATTGTTGGGTTACTCCCAAATCGCTTACACGCCAATTCGCCTACGCTTCGATACGCCTACAGGTTTTATGTAGGCGATTGGGCACACCCCTATGTCAAAAATAGACTGTCCAGGCATGTCATTAAAACATTTCACAGTAGATAAGACTACAGAAACTGACTGTTCATACAGCTTTATCTCACAGTAAACAAAATTGTTTTGTGATCTCAGGTCCTCAGACTGTTAACACAGGTTCAATATTCATTACATTCAAACATCTCACTGCACAAAAGATAAAAGAACTGCTTCTGAGTGAGTTTGGTTTTACGCCGCTTTTAGCAATATTCCAGCCATATCACGGCGGGGAACACCATAAATGGGCTTCACACATTGTACCCACGTCGGGATTCGAACCCGGGTCTTCGGCGTGACGCGCGGAAGCTTTAACCATTTGGCTACCCGTTTGGCTGTTCGTTTTACATGTAATGCAATTAAGGTGAGGTGAAATGGGGTTTAACGTCGCGTCCAAGATTTATTACACTTATATAGCGACGTGCATGTGTGGCTGCTTGTACTAGTCCGGATTGATGCCGATTTAGAGTGCTAGCCCACTGAGATACCATGCCGCAGTTTAACATGAATACCCAACTCAGACACAGTTTACTGACTTCGACCAGACCAGTCTTTGTTTTAGCCCCTTAATGCCGAGCGCTAGACAGGGTAACAACAAGTACCATCTTTTAACGCCTTTTGGTATGACGCGGCCGAGGATCGGACACCAAACCTTTTGTACCCTGTAAGAGGGTATGGGACATTCTGAAGCTGTGAAAAGTGCGAGCATGCGAGATCGCGTGAACACGAGATATGGCGAGATATCGCGTTCTCGCAATCTTGTGTTTTTTGTACGTAGTAATATTTTTCGAAAGTAAAAAACGAACGAATGTGACATTTAGACAAGATTAAAATCTCACATTCTCACATTCTTTTGCATATTTAGCTTGTTTCCAAAGGTCGAAATCGCGAGAATGCCTGAACGCAATGCAAGAATGTCCCGTACAGTATTCCATACGATACACCCCGAACACTATGTAAATAACTCTTAAGTACTCGCCGACCTTGTCCATCTACATAAATACAACAAAGTAGGCAAAATAGGGTAAAGAAAGCGAAGTAAAACATATACGTCTTCCCTTAATCGACAATACGTTTTATTAGTTTTGTTTGTTGTTTAACAACACTCAGCGATAATCAAGAAGATGTCGGCGATCTGTAAGTAATGGAATCTGGTCATACAAAACAGAACTAGTGATTGTTATCATGAATACCGGCCCACATCATAGGTACGGTGATATTCGTCAATCAAACCTCCGAGCCTGACCACCCGACCCCTGCAGCCACCCCTTACAAGCGATCTCCTCAGTAGTGAAGTGGGGAGGATATCGTCCTGGAGAGCAGGTAGTAGTAGTAGTACACTACTACTACTACTACTACTACTACTACTACTGCTGCTGCTGCTGCTGCTGCTGCTGCTACTACTACTGTTACTATTGCCGCAATTGCAACAACTACTGCTACCATTGCGGCTGCTGCTACTACTATTGGCGCAATTGCCATTACTACTTTTATAACTACTACTATTGCTGCTGCTACTACTACTACTACTACCACTACTACTACTGCTACTACTACTACTACTATTGCCACATTTACCTCTACTACCACTACCATTACTACTGCTACTACTACTACCACTACTACTTCTGTTATTGCTACTACTACTACTACTACTACTACTACTACTACGACTATTACTACTACTACTGCCACTACTGCTACTACTATTACCACTACTACAGCTACTACTGCAATCACTGGATTGTCTGGTCAAGACTCGACCGCCACCATATAGCTGAAATATTGCTGAGTGCGACATTAAACAACAAGCAAACAAAACTACTACTACTACTACTACTACTACTACTACTACTACTACTACTACTACTACTGCTACAACTATTGCTACAACCACTATTGCGATTGTTGCTACATCTACTACTACTATTGCGGCGGCTGCTACTACTACAACTACTACCAATATTGCGAGTGTTGCTGCAACTACATCTAATACTACTATTGTCGCGACTGCCACTTCTATTACGGCGGCTGCTACTACTGCAATTACTGCTAATGCCGCAACTGCAACAACTACTACGTCCACTATTGCGAGTGTTGCTGCAACTACATCTACTACTACTATTGTCGCGACTGCCACTACTATTACGGCGGCTGCTACTACTACAACTACTACTATTGCCGCAACTGCAACAACTACTACCACTATTTCGAGTGTTGCTGCAACTAAACCTACAACTACTATTGCCACAATTACCACCATTACTACTAATACTACGTTGTTGCTACTACTAAAACTGCTACTTCACCGGCTGCAACTACTACTATTGCCGCTGTTGCTGTTGATACCACCACCACCACCACCGTATACCTATAACCACCAGAACGCACATTAATACATTAAACAGTACAATGCGAGCTGGATATACCGAGATCCGAGAAGGGCCGGCAAATTGTTCTGAATCTAGCGTCTAATAACAAGGTGGAATGAGTGCCATTTAACAACAGAAGTCCTATCCAACTTCATAATGGCGGTTACGAACAACATTTTAAATCGGCTTAACACTAATTCTTACCAAGTATCGGAGCATTCATACATACGATGCCCTGTATATAGCGCTTAATGTTAATCCGTCTTTGTCCAGTCTGATTTATTCCAAATCGCTTCAGATACGTATTTCAACGATTTAGACCCGATCGACCTAATCACAATTGATTGAATGCAGGTATACGGCCGACATGAACCACGCTGATCACCCAGCCCGTTGTTAAGATTTGTGGTTGACTTGGCACACGAAATACGCCACTGACCCCGAATGTAAACGCAGGAAGGACGTGATATTTTGTTATGAACGTGTATTTGTCAAATGATGGGTGTTGAGTTCAAGGAATTCGCTTATCTTCGTCGGATTATGAAGTGTGGATGTGTTGTCGTTGTTAGGTTGCGGGACAATGCTATGGAATGGCTCGTAAACAATCTTCACCAAGTGGATGCGTTACGGAGACATGTTCTGAGCGTGTGTTGACCTATTCAGAATTTGAAGCCTGCAGTACTCCTTTAATAGAAGCCTTATAGGTTGATATAGATTGTTTGTGTGTCTCATTTTTCATTTTTTATCATAATGACGAACTTGTGTTCAACTTTGCAAACCCTTCACCGAAACCTTCTGTCGGATTCGGAATCGGAAATCGACGACGTTGCAATCTCGAAACTACGTTCCCCAATTATCGCCGAGCATCGTCGACGGCATGAGAGCTCCTCAAGTGATGGGAGGAGTTCAACAGATAGGATGTTCATTCCTAAATCACGTGACCGCTTCCGAAGCAGCTCGTGTGACACCAGGGGGCACGCTGGAAAACCGGAGTACATACATTGTAGATGTTGTGGATTATTGAAAAAGGCGAAGGTGTCGTTTTCGGATGACGTCGGCGATGACGACACACCCGAGGAAAAAGAAAATCCAAAAATACCCAGAGGATGTGAAACTAAAATTATACCACGACGGTCCGGATCATGTGATCCGAGTATTAGAAATAGGGATAATTTTCAAGCTGTGATAAAACCCGGACAAACGGTTTCCGACACCGAGTTCTTGGCACGGAGACAGACATCTGCCCTCCCTAGATATGAAGGTAAGACATGCGTTTATATATGGCATCGTGTTATGTGAGTCAGGCTGACCAGTAAGAGGTGACTAACGTAATCGGGTGGTCAGGTTCGCTGACTTGGGTGATGCATGTCATCGTATTCCAGTTGCGTAGATCGATGCTCATGATGTCCACCATTGGATTGTCTGGTCCGAAAAATAAACAGAACGCCTTCTTAAAGCTGGAATATTGCGGCGTTAAAAAACAAACAAACAAACAAATGATGAATGACCGAGTCACATGTAAGTCGACTCTTTCGAAGTAATGGTAAGCAGTTACGTCCGATGTCATTCCTTAAAATTGGAAGTCTGCCATATTCAGTAGTTCAAGATCATCATCATTTAAAAGACATATCTGTCAAACTTGAATAGTGAAAAAACTAAGAAATACAATGGTTAGGTTTCGACTAGGTTAACAGAAAAAAGTGAGTGAGTGAGTATGGTTTTACGCCGCTTTTAGAAATATTCCAGCAATATCACAGCGGGGGACAGCGGAAAATGGGCTTCATTGTACCCATGTGGGGATTCGAACCCGGGTCTTCGGCGTGATGAGCCAACGCTTGAACCACTAGGCTACCCCACCACCCCTAACAGAAATAAAATTTAATATATCCCTTCTGTGTGTGTCATTTGTAGAAGATGAATATCATATTCTGCTTGTACTGTGTGTGGATCCTTTAATAACTTTAGCAAAAGTAACCGCCTGCTAACTACTTTCACACTCACGAAAGTATTGTTTTGTGAGATCTCTATCGTCAGATACTTCATTTATTTAAGTTAAACTTTCCAAGGTTCATTTTTCATAGTCTACTGTTGACAAAAAAGCACTGTTGACCTCATTTTGACACATATTGGTAAAAAAACAATTGTACGTGGGTCAGAGGCGTTAAATACAATAAACTATAGTGATCGTTATTAATAGAGTAACGTATGCGTGGTGTTTACCTTATCTCTACAAGGTAAATACATAAAAATGAATTCATATCTCGCGAATAGTTTACATCGCCCTTAAGGATGTCTTTTGTTTGTATTGAATTTTTTCTAAGATTTTTTTCAAAATCTCAGTGATTTTTATCGAACTTTCCAATCAAGAAAGACGTTAGTGTTCATTCTGTAGCGCTGAGCGCACTCATTATCTTCCGTGTCAAATTACACCTGGGGAATCCCACCCTGTTAACAGTGTATACTAGACAGGAGCCAAGTTAACGGCGCTACTCGTTTGACCAATAATTCCGTACAATTGACAATGTGATGGTTATGATCCTCGGCTGCGCAGCGTCATACGTGTGATATGTTGACTTATAATATGTCGCTTATCTGTTTACAAACTTGGGTTTTTTCATCATTGACTATTTGACTTTGCAATATTTGGTGCAGTTGCTCCTTATAAACATTCCAACGCGAGGCGGTTTCTAATCGAAATAATGATTTTGAAGAGAAACAAATCAAAATGTGTCGTGTTACCAGACAAACAAAACTCAAATTCAACTGGTCTGAGTTTGGTTTAACGCTTCTTTGAACAGTATTCGAGTTATATCAGGACGTGGGAGTAGAACTCGAAGTGATGCGGGACTAAGACGTTTACCACTTTGGTGAAGCCCATGAGTATTGGTGTGGTGCTGACAAGACTAGAAACATAATCAGAGCAAATCTGGGATTCGAACCCACTATCATCGGCTGTATCGACTGCCGTGTTTTGTTTTGTTGGATTGTGTTCCAAACATCACTAATGCCATATAATCATAAACAAAATCATGTCCAGAATTACGGGATCCTTAAAACAGTATCAATTTGATACATTATCTTATGGACCACAATGCGCAGAGCATAATTATGCCCCTTTGCCGTGGCAGGATCCCCTGACCGTGAGATGAAATCCCGATGAAAACACGATTATGATCAGTAATGGTGGTGGTAGTTTTCGCCAAAGTGAGGTGAAATGGGGTTTAACGTCGCCTTCACAATTAATGCACTTAATGACGTTACACGTGTGTGTTAGTGTTAGTGTTAGTGTGTGTGTGTGTGTGAGAGAGAGAGAGAGAGAGAGAGAGAGAGAGAGAGAGAGAGAGAGAGAGAGAGAGAGAGAGAGAGAGATCGTGTCCGCGTCCTTTGAAATTTACTTTAACTCCAATGTGATGTTGACACGTAGGGATATTATTTCATTACTGATCACTCACACCTACGAGTTTGTTTTCCTGCTTCAGATGTTGTCAGTGACGGAGATCGACGATGGCGAGGACGACGACAGACACGTCATCCGGGTCGACCACCTCCAGCACCACAAACGTCCTCACAACGACGTCATAAGCCACAACTGAGCCATGCACATCGTCAACAGGAACCCTCTCCCCTCACCGTTGCCGATGTCATGCCGCAAGTTTTGCAGAAAGAAAGAAATCCCTGCGTCCAAGCCCAACAATACCCTCACGCCCATAATCCTTCAAACGTTGTTCCGGATTCGAGCCTAACATCTAGTCATGGACCTGATGAGCAGGAACCTCCCGCTCACTCCCCGTGTTGGACACAAGATCAGATGGCGAATGAACCCCACAGCGCTAATGACACTGATATTCCCATAGAATTAATGCCAAGCTACATTCCGGAAGAACGATCTAGGAGTCGCAGGCGACCGAATGAGTGTGATCCTGCCATTAACCGATCACATATTGAACGAGGTGTTTCATTTAAAATCGCTGTTGACAATCACGAGAGGCCATCGGATAGACCAAAAGACGTGTTCTTAAAACAGGCACGCGATTACGCAAGTGAAGGTAGCCAATGGTCGTCAAGACCTCCTCGCAAGCCAGGCTTTACAGAACATTCAACGAACCTTACGCGAACAGTACATGAGCAGTCTTCAATAAAGTCAGGATCTTCAGATAGATCACTACAGTGGCAAAGTGTCGCAAAACATCCAAATTCTGTGTATTTGCCGGGGGGGAAGGTGAAGGAAAATACTCATCAACGGACACCTGCTCCAGCTGCAGCATCGCTGCGTCCAACAGAACTCTGCATCATCACCCCATCAAGTGAACACTGGCTGGAGAGAAAAACGCAGGCGTACCGTCCTCATCGAACCCCTTCTCCATCAGCACAGCCTCATGCAACGGAATGCGCCGTTAACCACGGCCAAGAACATAGCCACACAGAAGAACAGTCATTAATTCTTAACACACCGCCAACCAAGAGGTATCACCTGCAACGGACATCGTCTCCAATCAGAGCACAACCCTGTCCAGTAGAACCCATTCCAAGTGTCAGGAATGACCAGTCACTGGAGGCTTCTCTCACCGAGCATCGTCCTCGCACAAGTTCTCTGTCAGCACCATCACGCCCATCACATTTGACAATAAGTAAATCCACATATGAACAATCATTTCAGCCTGAAACCTCTTCAACCCCACTCTGCAGCCGTCCCCCTAAACCCCCTCCAAAGAACTCCCCGGACAAACCTCCAGCGCGTCCACCCAAACCCCTAAAGCTTCAATCTCCCAGCCATAGTGGTTCCCCCGACGGAATATCCTCCACGAATAACGCAAAGCAGCCACATGCCCGTAGTGACGAGCCGCCAGCTCTGCCCCCCCGGGGCAGACCACCCAGACAACCGACTGACAAACCACCGGAAAGACCCCCAAAGTCATGGGTTGGAAGGAAACCCCTACCTATGTCAAGAGAGAGTTCCGACCCACCACCTTTACCCCCTAGGACCCGCCGGGCACAGTCTGTTGATAGTGTGTTCCGGAAAAGGGAGGCAACCCCGGGGATGGGGGAGCAGAGAAGGACTGCATCAGAGGGGGAGAGTCAGAAACTGATCATGGAGGTTCTTGTGTGACTGAACTGGTACAAGGTCATGTACAGGGTTACGGTCAAGGTCATTAACGGCCAAGGTCGCGATTCACACGTTAGGTCACGTTTGACGTGGGATTAACGAACAGGGTCAAGGTCATGTACTCCCACGGCACGAATAAGGTCGTGTCTATGCTTCAAACAACGTGACATATGTGAATATCATGAATAAGGTGACGGTCCAGCTTATTAAGATCAACTATCACAAATGAGGTCATGATTTTGCAGGGTTACGAACATGTAGGATCAGGAGCAGGGTCCTTGACAAAAACATTTCAGATTGGTATAATGCGAAATTGGAAAAAAGAATCACACCTAACACAGTGAGTTGTGTCGGCCGGCGTCTGCATGGTTGTGATCTCAGGAGTGGAGACGTGAAACTAGTCAGGAATTGAAGCTGTGGTGTTATTAACTCGCTGTCTACAGAACGTCACTGCATAGTATTCACTGTGGCCTGTGGCCTGTGGTATGTTGCCTGTGGTATGTGGCCTGTGGTATGTGGTATTGGACAAATCTATGTGAGGCAACTATCTTTTTCACGGGGAATTCGGGCATCGCTGTTAGCTATAGGGTGTTGTAATAGTGAGTGAGTGAGTGGTTTAACGCCGCTTTTAACAGTTTTCGAGTTAAATCGCGGCGTGTCAGCTTAATGTGGGAGGAAAGCCCGAACTGATGCAGGTCTCAGACGTTTACCACTTCGGTGAAACCCACGAGCACGGGTATGGTGCTGACAAACCTAGAAACATAATCGGGGCGAACCGGGATTCAAACCCACAATCATAGGTTTCTGTCGTGCCCAAGGAACGCAACTCTGCACAGCGAATCGCGGCGCCTTAGACGACTGGGCCACCCGTGCCCCACGGTGTTGTAATAAAAACAATATATGTTATTAAGAACATTAGAGGTTTCGTATTGTTTTCATTTCTTACTTCGTTGGTGTTTCGACTATGTGAACCGACCAAAATACATTACACCCAGGACCGCGCCCTGGTCTAGTAGAGCGTCCGCCCGGAGAGCGGAAGGTCCGGGGTTCGATGCCCGACCGCGTCATACCAAAAGACGTTAAAAGATGGTACTTGTTGTTACCCTGTCTGGCGCTCGGCATTAAGGGGCTAAAACAAGGACTGGTCGGCTCGGAGTCAGTATACTGTGTCTGAGTGGGGTATTCATGTTAAACTGCGGCATGGTATCACACACACACACACACACACACACACACACACACACACACACACACACACACACACACGTGCATGCACGTCGCTATATAAGTGCAATAATCATGGAAGCGACGTTAAACCCCATTTCACCTCACCTCATTGCACCCAGTCCTATAAATATACATCAGATCAAGAAGTCCAACAAATATAACAGTTCAAGTCTAACAAATATATTAGTCTAACATTAGACCAATTCCTACCAATATATCGTATACACACTGCGTGTGCTCAGTCGTGAACGATCATTCGTGACCAGCTCGTGTTATTCCGGAACAAGCCGAATAGCGACTCGTGCCCCTCTCGTGGCCATTTTTGCGACCGGGTTCTGTCTAAGCGCAAAGGGGCAAAGCTAAAAGAATTGTCAACTCGTTGGGTATTGATTCACGTATATTTCCCCATATATTATATAATTCCGGATGCAATCTAAAGCAGATCGGGACATGCGGTATTATACAGTATGATTGAATCATAGGTATAATTTTAGATGCAAGACATATGTAAAATCAAAATTATTCCCGAGGGATTCTTTGACCGAAGAACTTGAAGTCATACGCGCATTTTGATTGGTTTGCCGATAGGGGGACGAGTCTTCTTGTAGGTTACGGAAAGGGGCGAGTGGTGATGGATGTTGAACGGTAGAACTACGTTAAAGAGAGAGACATCTGCCTTAAAAACGCCACGACAATGTGAAACACAAAGACAAGTATTCATAGAGTGGTAAGAGAGATGTGTAAGCAACAGGAATCATGACGACGAATCCTGACAGGACATCCAGTAGGCTGTGGTGCCTCCTTCCCCTTCAATCATCCCGCTCAGGATTAGCGCCCACTCATTGCAGACTGGTTCCCTGGGTATGCTGCGCTACAGTGTAGCGCCAGCGCAGCATACCCAGGGAACCAGGCTGCCCCTCATTGAAGTTCCTTCTTACAGGCCTGGAACCCGTTCCACAAAGCGATCTTAGTGCCAAGTTTGTCGTAACTCCCATACTTCATCATAGGCTTACGATCAACGTAGCACTAAGATCGGTTTGTGGAACGGGACCCTGGTCTTATCGATTCTTTGAAGGTTTATTTTGAATTGAATTGATTCATGTCGAGGGGAGATAATCACTGCTTTGTTGCTGTTGTACCCTGACAATTCACACATTTACACATTTATAAAAAAGAACTTATCGTCAAACACAGCAAGGCAAGTCCGACTCAGCTACGTTATATTACGTGCGCAAACGCCACTGAAAGAAGCGGCCTATAAATATATGTATAGCGCATGCCAGTGACTTTCGGTCGGGTGGGTGAATCAATACCAAACCGGTTGACACCCGGTTTACGTCTTGTTGCCATGGTTTCTTGTGTTGTGAATGTAGGTGGATAGGTATGGAATACTGCAAGGGAGTTCTCGCGATCTCGACCTTTGGAATCTGTCGAGAATGCGAGATTTGGCCCAAATCTCGCGTACACAAACATCAATTCTCATCTCTCATCTTTCAGATAAGATATGTTTCTCATCTTTCTTTAGAAGGTTACAAATCTATTAAAGTAAACAATCATTCTCATGTATCACCTGACCTCATTTGGCCACGCCCGAAGAACTCGAAGTATGTGACGGGTTCGAGGCCGTTTACACCACGGCTAGATTCCCAAGCAAATCATATAATATGTTAAATTTAGAAAAACATATTGTGTTTTCAGTGTATAAGGTAGCTGTAGCGTTCTGTTCCAAATTCAGTTCAGCGCCTTCCAATCCACAAGTTCAACAGCTCGATCTACATTGAAAATACAGGAGGTTTATCTCCTTTCTGCCATGACAGAAAACAGCTCTTTAATGTAAAGAAAGATATTGAGTGAGGCGGCATAGGTTGACGCCAGTGTTTTCTGTTGGGCGACCTTTTTAATTAAGGATTCACCGATAATTGAATTTGAACAAATTATGTGGCTGTATGTTTTATTTAAAATCTGTTTTTAAACCAATATACGTATTTACCTTACTCGCATGTATCACACGTATTCAAACTATGTAGCACATCCACTTCGCGATCCAACCCTTGTAGGTTTGATACAATTGTTTGTTTATATTCGGGTGAACGAATTATGGAATGTTGTATACACCTATAGAACCATGGAATACAGTTGAGGGACTACGGTATACAGGTATGAAATTATGGTGTGCAGGTATGAACCCATGGTATACAGGTATGAAACTATGGTATGTATGTATGAACTCGTGGTATACAGGTATGAAATTATGGCATGCAGGTATGAACTCATGGTATACAGGTATGAAACTATGTAATTCAGGTATGAAACTGTGGTATGCAGGTATGAAACTATGGAATTCAGGTATAAAACTGTGGTATGCAGGTATGAAACTATGTAATTCGGGTATGAAACTATGGTATACAGGTATGAAACTATGTAATTCAGGTATGAAACCATGTAATTCAGGTATGAAACTGTGGTATGCAGGTATGAAACTATGTAATTCAGGTATGAAACTGTGGTATGCAGGTATGAAACTATGTAATTCAGGTATGAAACTATGATATTCAGGTATGAAACTTTGGTAGGCAGGTATGAAACTATGTAATTCAGGTATGAAACTTTGGTATGCAGGTATGAAACTATGTAATTCAGGTATGAAACTTTGGTATGCAGGTATGAAACTTTGGTATGCAGGTATGAAACTATGTAATTCAGGTATGAAACTTTGGTATGCAGGTATGAAACTATGTAATTTAGGTATGAAACTATGGTGTGCAGGTATGAAACTATGGTATACAGGTATGGAACTCATGGGATGCAGGTATGAAACTATGTAATTCAGGTATGAAACTATAGTATGCAAGTATGAAACTATGTAATTCAGGTATGAAACTATGGTATACAGGTATGAAACTATGGTATGCAAGTATGAAACTATGTAATTCAGGTATGAAACTATGGTATACAAGTATGAAACTATGTAATTCAGTTATGAAACTATGTAATTCAGGTATGAAACTATGGTATGCAGGTATGAAACTATGGTGTGCAGGTATGAAACTATGTAATTCAGGTATGAAACTATGTAATTCAGGTATGAAACTATGGTATGCAGGTATGAAACTATGTAATTCAGGTATGAAACTATGGTGTGCAGGTATGAAACTATGGTGTGCAGGTATGAAACTTTGGTGTGCAGGTATGAAACTATGGTATACAGGTATGAAACTATGTAATTCAGGTATGAAACTATGGTGTGCAGGGATGAAACTATGTAATTCAGGTATGAAACTATGTAATTCAGGTATGAAACTATGGTATGCAGGTATGAAACTATGTAATTCAGGTATGAAACTATGGTGTGCAGGTATGAAACTATGGTGTGCAGGTATGAAACTATGGTATACAAGTATGAAACTATGTAATTCAGGTATGAAACTATGGTGTGCAGGTATGAAGCTATGGTGTGCAGGTATGAAACTATGGTATACAAGTATGCAAGTATGTAATTCAGGTATGAAACTATGGTTTGTAGGTATGAAACTATGGTGTGCAGGTATGAAACTATGGTATACAAGTATGAAACTATGGTGTGCAGGTATGTAACTATGGTATACAAGTATGAAACTATGTAATTCAGGTATGAAACTATGGTATGCAGGTATGAAACTATGGTGTGCAGGTATGAAACTATGGTGTGCAGGTATGAAACTATGGTATGCAGGTATGAAACTATGGTATACAGGTATGAAACTATGTAATTCAGGTATGAAACTATGGTGTGCAGG